TTCCCCTCTGGTCCATGGTCTCCATGGTGTGGGATGGGCAAGAGCCCCTCCGAGGTTGGATCTGTCTCTCTGTCACTCTCTGTTTCTGCCTTTTCACCGTTTCTTATATTCCCGGAGATCCGAAACTCCGATTGGATTGAAACTTTGAACACGATTTTTTTCCGGATATTAGCTTTCTTGCAGCGAAAGAAGGGCAACAACTGTGTCGGGGGGATGACCCCCGGGTAGGCCCAAGACGGCGAACGACGCTTCAAAAACACCGGGGCCAACAACGCCCCTCAACCCGGCTCGCGCTTGGCCGGGTTGCTCAACCCGGCCAAGTCCCTCAACCCGGCCAAGTCCTTCAACCCGGTCGGACTCCTCAACCCGGCTGCCCGGCCGGGTCCCTGTCCGGCTGCTCCACCCAGCCTGCTACGCGAAGTCAACCGCTACATCGATCCGACACCGACAAGACGGCCATACTGTGACCACTGTTGCTGATAAAGCATACACTGTTCGCTCGTCACACGCAACATCATCTACAGTGTACTTTGTCCCCCGGGCATTGATTTATAAAATACCCCAGGGACAAAACTTAGCCTAGCTCCCAAACTACATACAGCTTGGGATGTAAGCTACACTAGCTTACATCCCAAGCACACACCTTGCCCACCGAGCCTACATCCTAAGCCAGCTGCACATATATAAGCTAGTACACATCCATCCATCCCAAGACAGATGCACATACCCTCACGTACAGACTCACACACATTCGACCACAATCCGGCCACTAGTGCACTTGGCACTCATACTACACGCATGCATATATGCGGCTAGATGCCCATAGCTGCGTTCTGTAATACAGCTTCAGGAGCAACTCTGTACTGTCAGACATGTACATCGCATATATATTCAGACATGCAGGAGTAGGGGTATTATCTCTCCGGAAAGCTCCGAACCTGAATAAATCACCGCGTGTTGTTTGCCCAATCCCGTCCCTTGACCTCCAAAGCAGTCTTGCCCTCACCACAAGCCACCTCGTGGCATCTGTTGTCTCGGGAACCCGCCCGCGAGATAACCCCGACAGTTGGCGCCCACCGTGGGGGGTACTATGCTACCAAGCTGCCGCGGAACCAAGATCCGGGCAGGACCATTTTCATCATCACCGCGGCGTCGCTGTCGTCTCTCCGGTAGCACTCGGGGGCCCGACATCGACACGCCCCCGAAGCGGCCGCGCTGGGCGGCACGTCCTCGCCGTTGGTCTCGCCATCTTCATCATCTCCGCCTCGACGTCGCCACTGTCTCTCCAGCCGTGCCCGAGGGCTCGACATCAACTCGCCCCCTGGGCAGCCGCGCGGAGCGGCGCGTCCTCGTCGGCGGCCTCGCCCTTGTCATCATCATCGCCACGTCGCCGGCCGGCCGTCGCCGCTCCGGCGTCGCTGCGCTGTCTGCTCGCCCGTGCCAACGTCGCCGCGCCTCCTCCGGCGTCTCTCCGTCCACACCATCTGCGTGCTCATTCCCAGGCAATACATCCTCGTATACATTCCCCGTACACATTCCAGACTACGGCCAGACTTGCCTCGGATGAATGCGAGATAATTGTGAGACTATCCACATATGCATCCCGTACACTACCCTTATAGTAGCTGTGCACAACTCGCCTCTGCTTCGCCCGCGCATGCGTGCAGCAACTCCGGCCTCGCGCGTCACCCCGCCGGGCTCTGCCGCGCCTCCACCCCGTGCTAAGCTTCACCGTGCCTCCCGCGCGATGCGCTACCACTTCGCCTTGCCTCGCGGTTCTGCTGCTCCGCCGCGCTGTGTTGTCCGCTGCAGGAATCCCACGCGCCAGCGCTGCACAGCCATGGTTGCCAGTCCACAGCAGTCAACGCCTGCGTCCTCCTTCCTCCCTGCGTCTACATGCAGCAGACGTCCTCCCCCGAGCTCGCCTCTGCTCTGCCCCACGAGCGCGTGTCCGCGCGGTGCCGGCTCGGCCTGCCGCCCGCCGGCTCGCCATCCCGTCCCGGCCGGCTCCCGCATGACGGCCCCGACCGCGCTGCACAGGCTCCGCCCCGTGGCCGGCCTCCTCCGCATCCGCATGCCCACCTGTCCGGCTCCACACAGCGCCCGCCGAGTCCGCCCGCAGCGCCGGGTCTGTCTCCGCCCGCGCCTGGCCGGGTCCGGCCCCAGCTCTTCGCCCGCCCACGGCCGGGTGCAAACCGAGCCGGCTGCAGCCTCGGCCCCTCGGCCGGCTGCTGCCACGCCCCATCACCGCATCCGTCTCCACCCAGGCCGACCCTCCAGCAGCGCCCGCGTCGCCCACTGCTCTCCTCGTCGCCGCCGAACACCGTCTCCACATCGCGGCCGCTGAGGTCCACACGCGCGTGGCCCGCCGTCTCGATCGGCTCGCACCCGCGGCCCGGCCTCGCCATCTCTGTCGGCCCCCGCGTCGCGTCCCCGCACCTGTGCCGGGTCCCCGCACCCCGTCGTCTCCGCCGGCTTGCGCCCGCGACCCGGCCCCCGTGCGCCGGCTCCCCGCGTTGGCCGGCCTCCCCGCTCCAGCCGGTTCCGTGCCTCCGCGGCCGACTCCCCTGCATGTCGGGTCGCCGCGGCCCCTCTGCTCCGCGCGCCCCGACCAGCGCCCGCCGGCTCGCGCCTGCGGCCCAGCCCCGCCGTCTCCGCCCGCCCCAGCGTCGGGTCCCCGCCGCCGCGCCGGGTCCCCACACCCCGGCCGGATCCGCCCTTACTCCTGCGGCCCCGCGCCCGCCGGCTCCGACTCCGGCTCAACGCACGGCCGGGTCCGCGCGCCCGCCGGGTCCGGCATCCCCACCCAGCCTCGCTCCGCCCGTGGTCGTCTCCGGCTCCCCCCGCGGCCGGCTCGCCCCGCGCACGAGTGCTCGTTCCCCTGCTCCGCTTCTGCCGAGTCCCATTCTGAAGAAAGATACAGAGAAAAAAAGAGAGTAAAATTGCACAGAAGTATTAGCATTGGAAGCAGATTGGTACCAAAATTGATAATTTTTACGTGTTAGTACCAACTTTGAAGCGAACCGTTGCAAAAGAAACTAAAAGTGCTGTTTATACGTATTGACAGGCAAATTGATCGGTTGGGCCCACCCGTCAGGTGCCACCCTGGCGTACCCGCGCGCTGACTCGAACGAGCTGGGTCGCACCGTTTAAGCGCGGCTGGTGCGGCCCGAGCCTCCGTCTCCGTCTCCGTCTCGCCAGTCGCCACCGCCGACCGCACGCGCCGCCGCGAGCTCGAGGCACGCTCCTCCACGACCGCGGCCCCGCTCTGGTTACACACGCGCATCTTCCCGACCCCCGACCCGCCCCGCCGTGCCCGCCTCGCGCTCTCCTCCATCCGCTTCCGCCGCGGCGCCAACTCCTCCTCCGCTTCCTCCATCGACGCCGCAGCCTCCTCTGCCTTCGCCGCCGTGGCTACCCCCTGCCCCACCTCCTCATCCCCTTTCCCCTCGCTGTCAGCCCCCGCGTCCTGCCCCGCCACCGTCTCGGCGCCCCGCGCTGGTGCCCAGGTGGCCGTGGAGCTGCCGTGTGGGATGGCCGTCGGCTCGCGCGTCACAGTGGTGGCGCTGGCACTTAGCAACATGGCATGAAAATATGGTTCTTAGCAAGAAACTTTACACATTAAGCTGAACATATGTGCTAAAGAAAGAGAGGTGTTCCTCTTGAGTACAAGTCAATATATCTTAATGATTCCATGAACTCCTGTTTTTATTTTCTGAGGAACTTGTCGGTCCTTGTGATTGGTGAGTAAGCGTAATGTACATTGAGCTAACATGATTCGCCAGTTGATTGATATTACATTCCAATTTCTCGCATTTTCTGCAGCAATGGAAGCAGCTTCTACGGTCCAGGGGCAGTGAGCTGGTGTTCAAGTGTTTGCCAAACTGTAGTTGCTGGAGCATGCGCTTCTGGATCAAGGGGAAGCTGGCTGTGGTGGCTGTTAGATATTGCACAAGTGAGTGCGGCTCTGCATCTGTAGGAAGTAGTTGTTCTGTAGTAACTTTGTATAGGCCGGGTTAAGGTAGGACCAATGCTGCCAGTCTTAGTACTCCCTCCGTTTTTATTTAGTTCGCATATTAGCTTTGGTCAAAGTCAAGCTTTACAAAGTTTGACCAAGTTTATGAACAAAAATATAAAGATATACAATAACAAATCAACAACATTAGATTTATTAGTAGATGTACTCTCACATCGTATAGATTTGTTATAATAAATGTCTATATTGTTGTCTATAAACTTGGTCAAACTTTACAAAGTTTGACTTCAGTCAACTCTAATATGCAGAGTAAATAAAAACGGAGGGAGTATTTGCGTATGGAACTTCGTTTAGGAAGTTGTTCCGTAGTCAAAATTGATAAGGTTAGTTGTAATCGCCATGCTCAGATTTAGTTCATTTTGAACTAACCTCCTGTTTTTGCCGGCTTATGCGGACCTTTGCTTATGTGCTTGCAGTTTGTAGGAACTTTGTTTGGAAGTCGTTGCTTTCAATGCTTGCAGTATGTAGGAACTCTGTTTAAGAGGTTGTTGCATCCGTGCTTGCAATTTGTAAAGACTTCTAAGTTCAGCCAGTTTGTGATGTTGACAATGGTGGCACGAGCATGTCGCACATCTTCAACTGGCAGTCTGCGACATTCATACTTCTTAGAACAATCAGACATGCAGGTGGAATCGACAATGCACAGGAGCAGCTCTGAACACACAAAATGATTTACTCGAAACATCTAATATGTATATATAAGAACAGCCGGTATACAAGTGAGATCAGCAGAGCTGTTATAGTTCCTAGGTCAAAAACAATTGACACATGTACATGGTGTCAGCATCTAGCTAGTGTCAGAATCAGCAGCTGAATTAACCAGCCACTGACCAAAAGAATGAGCGAATTACGCAAGCTAATTCTCCAAAGATCCTCCAAATCAAGATCAAACTCGAACTCATCCTTGCTGTTTGATTCTCCAGAGAGCCGGGTACTGCTTTTCAATTAACAAGCAGTCTCATTGTCATCTGGCATTGCAGCATTGAGCACTCCCGGACTGCGGCTTCCTCCACAGGCAGATTATGTGCTGCGGCGACTGGTAGTGCGTGGTGTAGTAGCCGTCGAAGCAGCCGGCCTGGAAGAACTTGACATCGTGCGAATACTCCACTAGCTGGCGAGTCTTGTTGAACTTCTGAACCCACATGCCCATGCTCACGTCTTCCATCTTGAACAACTGCAACAATCAGGGGGAAGAAGCACACCCGTTTGTTAGGCTTTTTAGACACACTACATAGATGTTTCAAAATCTAGTTACTGGCAAGGGGTGGTAATGACTTACTCTCAGTGCCTGGTTGTCAAACTCGGATACGATGTACTCAGCTATTTCTGATGAAATCACATAGCCTGGTCCGTTTGCATAAGGTGGATACACTTCCTCTTCCCATTCCTGAAAAGGGGCAGAAAATTACATCACACTCATGTATGCAGCGTGAAATATATCACTACCTGGAGAAATTTGCCACAATTATGACACGTACTTTTTTTCTGAAAAGAAATATCATACTCTAATACCACTACCAGGTATTGTAAAATATAACACCCTGTGTTGATAGGTTGATCAATAATTCATTTGCAAGCATAATCATAGTTCGAGCTACCAGGTAAACCCATGCTTACTTTAAGAAAGGCAGAGACAAGCATGAACGCACTAAAACATGACACTGGAAATGGGAGCTAACATATATGACCCGTAAAGCATTAATATGCTGAATAATGGAAGTCAAGTCACACCAATGCAGGAATTTGCATGGCCCAACACACAAGGATTCTCTGCTTCCATGAAAGGCACTAGAACAATGTCACCAAACAACTCTGCTTCCTTCTTCAGCTCTTCATTGACCTCTTTTTTCCCATTCTATAAAGAAGTTTTCTATTAGAGTTTGCAAAGTCACCAATATAACTGTAAAATGTAGCAATCATCCACAGGTACTTACCAGAGCGACAAAGAACCGGGCAACATTGTTAGACGATTTCCTTGTAGCAATCATCCATGACTTGCGAACGGCCATCCACTTGGCGAAATGGTTGGCTGCAGAAAGGATACCGATGAACAGCTCGACAGGTTCAGTCGGCAGAGGTGAGCCCTTCCACTGTGCAGACATTTCAAGGTATCGCTATGGGTCGAAGCTAGGGTGTGATTTGGGCAGATGGGCGACAGAAATCGACTTGATGTCAAGGTCTCTGTTCAATGACAGGCCTGTTGCGTCCTCGATGTTGTAACCCTGTTAAATCCACAGATTGACAGCCCATCAGATAACAGGTTCTCCATCGATGATATACTATGTAAGTAACCAACAAGCAATGTCTGCAGAGGCATGGCAAAAATCTTACAATGTGGTAAGGGAAGGATGCAATATGTTGCTCATTGACATTGACATGGTAGCCTTCGAGACCGGCTGTGATGGTTAGGGCAAAGAGCTTGCCCTCTATAAAGGGGTATGCCTGATCGACAGAGACCTTGTTCTGGCTCCGGCCTGCCGATCAAATTGTTGAGCAGCCACTTTATGTTTGACGATTCCTCTGTGTTGGGGCCATCATCCCGAGTCCATTTCTCACACTTGACTTCCCCATCAACTGAAATTGGAACCAATAGCAAGCAAATTCAGTGATGAAATTTGTGTTGGTTTTAACGAACAAATAGCTTCAAAATTAAGATACCACTATTAAATTTCTTAGCGAACGACGAGGAAAAAGCGAGATTGAACTGTGGAATCAAAGGAGCTCACCCCTATCCTCGTCGGGCCGGGACGCCGGTCCCTCGCAGCGCTGCAGCAGCGCCCACTGCATGCGGTAGCAGGTGTTGAGCTCGATGACGGGACGGCCGCTGAAGTCGCCTCTGATCCTGGGGTTGAAGTGGAGTATCCTAGGCGGCTCCTCCCCGTGGACGGCCTTGGTGCTGAGCAGCTCCACCATGAACTGCGACGACGCCGCCCCGTCCCTCCTCGTCGGCCAGGCCACCACCGTGATGCGCGAGCCGACGGCCATCCCGCACGGCAGCTCCACGACCACCTGGGCGCCAGCTCGGGGCGCCGAGACGGTGGCAGGGCAGGACACGGGGGCTGACAGCGAGGGGAAATGGGATGAGGAGGAGGCGGCGGTGGAAGGGGAGAGGAGGTGGGGCAGGGGGTAGCCACAGCGGCGAAGGCAGAGGAGGCTGCGGCGTCGATGGAGGAAGCGGAGGAGGAGTTGGCGCCGCGGCGGAAGCGGATGGAGGAGAGTGCGAGGCGGGCGCGGCGGGGAGGGTCGGGGGTCGGGAAGGTGCGCGTGTGTGGCCGGAGCGGGGCCGCTGTCGTGGAGGAGCGTGCCTCGAGCTCGCGACGGCGCGAGCGGTCGGCGGTGGCGACGAGCGAGACGGAGACGGAGACGGAGGCTCGGGCCGCACCAGCCGCGCCTAAACGGTGCGACCCAGCTCGTCCGAGTCAGCGCGCGGGTACGCCAAGGTGGCACCTGACGGGTGGCCCAACCGGTGTCAATACGTATAAACAACACTTTTAGTCCTTTTGCAACGGTTCACCTCAAAGTTGGTACTGACACGTAAAAATTACCAATCTTGGTACCAATCTACTTTCAATGCCTCAATTGTGGTACTTCTGTGCAATTTACTCGAAAAAAGAAGTTGAACTCGGTTGGGAAAAAAAGTGCCCAAGCCCGTTGAGAAAAAAAAATGTTGCCAGATAGAAGAAGAAAAAGACGCGAGCTACGCCCGCTTCACTCCTTTGGACTACCGGCCTGCCCGCCTACTTCGACACCGGGCTGGCTAGAGAGCCCACCCAACTGCCTGTCTACCTCGACGCCCGTCCGGTCGGACCCGACCGGCTGGGACCCCCTTCGAGCACCCGGAGGCTCGAAGGCTACCCTCAGTCGGTGCGTCGGCGCGCTAGCGCCAAGCCGCGCCGGCTGTCATCGAAAACCTCCACCTCATTCACGTCAAAGCAATGTGAGCTCCTCACCCGCATACTTTCGCGTCACGCGCAAACACGGATAACCCCGAGCAACCCTCGGGGACCACCTCCGCCTTTGTTATAGTTGCATCACTGTTCGCCCCGACGCCGGCTAGTCTCGGCCCGGAGGCTGGCCGCTCGGCCCAATACATTCGTTCCCGCAGACGGCTAGTAGCGCACACAGTACCAAAGGCCCACCTCTCAGTCACAGACCGCAGCGCGCCTATCCGGCTAAGCGAGAGCCAAAGCTTGAGGTCACCCCACGCGAAAAATGTTCGTGAGAAGACGGCTTGGGCAACCCGATCGTTTCCTATATGAGTATCTACTCGGTCGAATTTGCTCCTGTAGTCCGAGTACTGTACGCTCCACTCCGCGGCCACTTTTCGTAACAGCTAGAGGCCGGCTCCGAGCTGTGTAGCTAATAAGAGGCAAAGCCAAAGAGAGGAGGGGACATGAAAAAGACTGAAGGGGGCTCGGACGAAACTGAGTCGGCACCCTCCGCATAAAACTTACAATGCTGAAAGCAAACATTTGATATATCTGTGAGGACTAACTTTGTCTTTTGCACGATAATCGCTATGGGGAACCCCCTCCTCGTCTGGAGACTCGGAGGCTACACGCGGGTTGCGGGCCCAACGCCAGCCGCAACCGGCGTTTCCATCGCCGTCGGCTTCATCAACAACAGCAAAGACCCTTCGCCCAACTTTTTCAAAGTTGCACGGAGGCTCGGAGGCTACACCCAATGGGTGCGCTCACGCGCCCCCACTCAGCCAACGGACTCCGCGTCCACGCCCGGCAGGGCCCCGTGCCCCCCAGCGAGCGGACTCCGTGTCCGCGCCCGGCAACCTCGACATCACCGTCGGCTTCATCAACAACAGCAAAGACCCTCCGCCCAACTTTTCGAAAGTTGAATGGAGGCTCGGAGGCTACACCCAGTGGGTGCGCTCGCGCGCCCCCACTCAGCCAGCGGACTCCACGTCCGCGTCCGGCAAGGCCCCGCGCCCCCCAGCCGGCGGACTCCGGGTCCGCGCCCGACAACCTCGACGTCACCGTCGGCTACATCGATGCCCGCTAAAACCCTCCGTGCAATTTTTCCAAGTTGCCCGGAGGCTCGGAGGCTACTGTCGGGGGGATGACCCCCAGGTAGGCCCAAGACGGCGAACGACGCTTCAAAAACACCGGGGCCAACAACGCCCCTCAACCCGGCTCGCGCTTGGCCGGGTTGCTCAACCCGGCCAAGTCCTCAACCCGGCCAAGTCCTTCAACCCGGTCGGACTCCTCAACCCGGCTGCCCGGCCGGGTCCCTGTCCGGCTGCTCCACCCGGCCTGCTATGCGAAGTCAACCGCTGCATCGATCCGACACCAACAAGACGGCCATACTGCGACCACTGTTGCTGATAAAGCATACATTGTTCGCTCGTCACACACATCATCATCTACGGTGTACTTTGTCCCCTGGGCATTGATTTATAAAATGCCCTAGGGACAAAACTTAGCCTAGCTCCCAAGCTACACACAACTTGGGATGTAAGCTACACTAGCTTACAACCCAAGCACACACTCATGCCCACCTAGCCTACATCCTAAGCCAGCTGCACATATATAAGCTAGCACACATACATCCATCCCCAGACAGATGCACATACCCTCACGTACAGACTCACACACATTCGGCCACAATCCGGCCACTTGTGCACTTGGCACTCATACTACACGCATGCATATATGAGGCCAGATGCCCATAGCTGTGTTCTGTAATACAGCTCCAGGAGCAACTCTGTACTACCAGACATGCACACCGCATATATATTCAGACATGCAGGAGTAGGAGTATTATCTCTCCGGAGAGCTCCGAACCTGGGTAAATCACCGCGTGCTGTTTTCCCAATCCCGTCCCTTGACCTCCAAAGCAGTCTTGCCCTCACCACAAGCCACCGCGTGGCATTTGTCGTCTCGTGAACCCACCCGCGAGATAACCCTGACAAACTGCCTTACGGGGTGTCCACGAGGGTCAGGGGCGCGCCCACCCCCTAGGGCGTGCCCCCTGCCTCGTGGGCCCCTCGAGGATCGTCTCGCGTTGATTCCACTTCTCAAAATTCAGATATATTCCAAAAAAATCTTTGTCCGTTTCTATCATGTTTGGACTCCGTTTGATATGGATTTTCTGCCAAACAAAAACATGCAACAAACAAGAACTGGCACTGGACACTGGATCAATATGTTAGTCCCAAAAATAGTATAAAATGTTGCCAAAAGTATATGAAAGTTATATAATATTGGCATGGAACAATCAAAAATTATAGATACGACGGAGACGTATCATATATAAACGGTAAAGTAAATATTTTTGGTATTTTTTGTTTATAGATCAGAAAGTAAAAATTGCAAAATAGTAGGTCGGAAACTAGCAAGATGTAAACGAGATTCAATAATATGGAAAAGAGACCCGGGGGCCATAGGTTTCACTAGTGGCTTCTCTCAAGATAGCAAATATTACGGTGGGTGAACGAATTACTGCCGAGAAATTGATAGAAAAGCGCATAGTTATGATGACATCTAAGGCAATGATCATGAACATAGGCATAACGTTCGTGTCAAGTAGACCGACTCCTGCCTGCATCTACTACTATTACTCCACACATCGACCCCTATCCAGCATGCATCTAGAGTATTAAGTTCATAAAAACGGAGTAACGCATTAAGCAAGATGACATGATATAGAGGAATTAACTCAAGAAATATGATGAAAACTCCATCTTGTTATCCTCGATGGCAACAATACAATATGTGCCTTGCTGCCCGTACCAT